AAAGTCACTTAGACTTTGATCTCCGACAAATGAGTAGAAAGTCACAAAGACTTTAATCTCAACGAACGAGTAAAAATCACGCAGATTTTGATCTCGAAGCAGGAGTAGAAAATCAGGAAGATTTTACTCCCCATAACGGGTGTATAAAATGGTTTTCCAACTAAACCATTATAACATTTTAAACTGTTTGATCTCTTTCCCTAATCAAACAAATATATGTACACCTTTTCCAAGGCGAACCAAATGGGTTTGTTGGAAGATACACAGAACAAGTCACCATTTTCTATTTGGCCTTTCTCAAACTTCCTAAAATTTTGAACTTAAATTTCGTGTCGTCTAACTTCCTTGTAAGTGATGGTGCTTTAGGAACCGATAAAAGGACTACTCTATCAGTTTATGATCATTCCATGATGATTGTAGTCATTAATTATCCATCCTCAAGTTAAAATAATATCGTAAAACAAATAGTGCAGAATATGAAAGAATTTATCAATAATAATTCTCACCTCTGCTTTAAAGCACCTTCGCTTGGCAACCATAATTATGGCACCCACATAACTAAACCATGGAGAATTGACAAATGTTATCTCAACCTTTAAGAAGAAATGAACAATAAAGTTGTAAAGTCACGTGGGCTTTTTAATACCCAAAACTTTGTAACCATGACATTCTTATCTTAGGATAGGCACAATGTTCGTTCATCAGTACTAGAAAACCAATTACCTTTCCTTCAATGCACAGAGACATCCAACCAATAAGATCAAACTTCAAGGCCACATAAGTCGCAAAATTTTACCAACTTTATCCTTGAATAATCAGTGTATCAACTAACATTGCGACCTTACGAACGCAACAAATGATACGACGTCTTCCAATAACCTAGGAAACATGGAGATAAGTTGTGTGTTGTGCCAGCAATTGTGACTTAATATCGTGGCTTTTCAAATTTGGTTCTTTAGATTAAACCATGAATAATGCACAACATCATTCTTCTGTAGAATGCAAACAGAAGAGAAGAACTTTACCCAGCCATCTATAATCATTTCTCGTTGTTTACGACTAACAGAATGTGTTTGTTCACTCTCCAACAAACACCTGTTAAGACGAACACGTACAGAAAAATATATATTAAAAAAATTCTAAATTCCTTAAGCTTGTTGTTCTTACTGTGTTCAAACTCAGAAAAGTAAACAAACGTTAGTTCAATAAACAAAACGTAAAATAGTTCCGAGCCCACTGAATGCACAATGTGTCCTTAAGGAATTTAATCCCCTCACTGTTGCCCAAGGTATACGGATTAATTCCTCTCAGGATAGAACGGAATAACTATTATGTGATAGCGGCATTTCAAATTACAGAACTTCAGCGAACTCAACAACGGAGCAAATCACACTTGACACTTATGTTTATTTAGAAAATAATATAACAATGTAGAAAAGAGGGGAGAAGATTTCATATTTTCCATGTCTGATTTCATATCTGAAAAATGAGGCCAAGCCTCTAAATTTATAGACAAAGGAAGGGTGATATGGAGAGGTGCAATCTAAAAGGTGCCACTTCCATTTCCCATTCACACCCCTTAATAAAAACACAACAAATGTGATAAAGCAATTGCTTAGAAAGAAATTTTTATACACATTATGTGTAGTCAAAAGAGGATTTGGCCGATCCTTTGACTTATAAGTAAAACATCAAGGGGTTGAGACTTTTGCCAATTTGAGATGTATCAACAATGATGGTAACCCAACCTATGCGATTGGAGATCCCATGAAGTAGGTTCATATGGGTAATAACAAGTCATTAGTTGATCAAATGTGCACTATTAAATTATGTCTCTTCCTATGGTGTGTGTGTATATAGTGCATGACTGCAAGGAATGTGAGGTTGAGTTATTAAACTCTTAATCTAATTATCCATAGCCTTTTGTAGGTGGTGTATTGAACTGCAAAATACACTTGATGGATGGACCTATATGAGTATGGAGTGGGGCCGCTCTTATGAAATTTGTGGCGAAATTTCTAGAGCACTCATGAAAACCAGGCGCGCGCATGGCCTATTAGCGCAAAATCGTGATAAACAACAAAGTGTGTGAAGATAAGACACTAAACTTACAAAAGAATTATTGGTTCATAGAAGTTTTAAACTTCACCAATTTTTCTGTAAGTTTAATCTTATTTTATTTAGGTCTGGTCCATAGTCCAAAAGACACTAGATTCGACGCATTATGCTCATTTGTGAAAACCCAGATTTTTTTTTTTTACTCTATTACTTAATATTCTTTTTGAGTTATGTGGGGGATTGTTGGAAAAATAATTTGCTAACTCAAAAAGAAATATTCAAATTAGTGTCTTGGTTCATTCTTTTAATATTATTTTAATAGATCTTTATTATATCAATTAATTGAATATATTTTAATATGTATAACTGAATTTGAATAGCTTTGAATATAACCATTTACTAACCTTAAATGGGTATCATTATGGCTTTAAGAAAATTGATGTTTTATTAACATGAATGAGTATCAAAATCAATTATGTTTTTGTGACTTTGAATTTGACCAAAGATTGGTCTTGTATGACTGTTTCATAACGTCTATTTTGATAACATTTCATTAACTTTGATAATAATGTTTCTTTGGTTTTAAATGTTTATAACGTTTGATGGCAATGAATCCTTAATGGATTTTAACGTTTCTTTTATTACATAAGATGTCCATTTCCTTTGAACTATATATAAAACTATTTGATTGTGTTCAAGATAGTATAGTAGAGTGACAAAAGTTAAAACTTTTCTTCCCTTTTCTTTTGTACTGGGTTTTCTATTATTCAATCTTTGTTGTTTCTGCTCCTAGTTTATACTAGAAGAGCTTGTTGAATCCTGGGGGATACACCTAATTTTATTCATTACGGTGTAGGCAAAATATTCTTAAGGACAGTGTCTTTGACACGCCTCAAGCTAAACCTTCTATTCTCCATAATCATCCAATTTTTTTCCAACAGGAAGTTAACCGCAATTGCAATTTAGAATAACATAATTGTGAAATAGCTGTGCGCAACAGGTGTAGGGACACCACCAAGTGTAACTCATAAGTGGGTGGGTAAGCATACCTTATTCCTAACTTGTGCAGGGATATAAATAATAATTCCTTTTTTTTTAATTCCCCTTTCTTGGCACGAGTATAGATATCGTACCCCATCGCTTAACTAAAATTTTTGGACTAGACAATGAAATTGGTAGAACATTTACCAAAAGAACAATATGATTGGCTACAAATAATTTGGCCAAATACTTAGACAACCCCTTTAACTTGACTATATTTTTTACTTGGACACTTCAACTGAGTTTTGTACCTATTGAGCACTTAAACTCCATACACAATGTGCCTATTGAACCCTTCAAACACATCATAGCAAAATAACAAACTGTGTGTACACACGCGACAACTTTAACAAGTAGCAAAAAGAAAGAATAATAGCCTGTTTGGCCAAGCTTCTTTTTGGCCAAAAGTGCTTTTTTTGGGCCAAAAGCACTTTTGACCAAAAATTGAGTTGTTTGGCCAAGCTTTTGGAAGGAAAAAAAGTGCTTTTGAGGAGAAGCAGAAGCAGTTTTGGAGAAGCAGAAAAAAAGTAGTTTCTCTCCAAAAGCACTTTTTTGAGAAGCACTTTTGAGAAAAATGCACTTAGAAGTAGTTTTTTAAAGCTTGGCCAAACACTAATTGCTGCTCAGAAGTGCTTTTCAAACTAATTAGTCAAACACAAACTGCTTCTCACCAAAAGTACTTTTGAGAAAAGCACTTTTTTAAAAAAGTACTTCTCAAAATAAGCTAATTTTTGCAGCTTGGCCAAACGGGCTATAAAACTTTTTCGTATTCCTTTTTTTCCTTTGACCAAGTCCCTGTTCCGATTCTTGACCTTCGAAACAACTCGTTTTCTGAAGTAGTTCCATATGGATCTCATCTTTAATCTGCCTGCGAGTCCTTGATTTTTTTTTCTCAAGTGAGTCCTCTAGAAATTATAACTTCTTGAAGTATTTTTTCAACACAGTAAACCCCCCGCCCCCAGGTGCCCCAAATTCTATCTTCTTCCATAGACTTAGAACTACTGAAACTTTCTTTTTTTTCTTTTTCTTAATGCTAGCATTTCTGTCTCAAACGATGGACCTCATTAATCTAAAAATTGTACCATATGTTGAGTAGCCCTTCATGTAATTTTTCATCTTTTTAGTATAATATAGTTTTTTTTTTTTTTTGAGCAATAGAAGAATCTCAGTCAATTATTGTGATTTTACCTAGTGTTTAATTATAATATTTTTAATATGCTAACTAATTTATCAATTTTAATTATACATGTAGAGATCTTTATCTTCTTTCTTTCTTTGTATCTAAAGATGGGGAATGAACCACCACCGGAGAAGCGAGAATCACTAGAAAATTTGACCAAGAAAGGACCTTGGGCCGGAATACCCTTTTCCGACGACCCATTTCCTCTTTTGTTTCAATTACGCACGTTCTTATCTCAAATCCGTGTGAAATGCTGTTCAAATCTCTCCGTTTTTGCTAGTCCAAAGGGTTGTTTTTCTCTCTCTAATAATTGATATTTTCAATCACTTTAATCTATGAAAATGATTTTGGGAAGGAGAAAATGAAGAGTAATGGTGCATATGGTGGTGGAGGTGAGAGAGGAAGAAGAAAGAGAAATTCAAAAAATGATATCTTTCACGCGCTTCATAACATTATGTGCCATGTCAGCAAGTTGTGCCTAATAGAAATAATTTGATTTGAGTTTAGGCGTTCAATAGGTACAACGCTGAGTTGAAGTGCCCAAGTGAAAATTATAACCAAGTTTAAGGGCCCCTTATGTATTATTTTGAAGTGTCTTCCATCTTAATTCCATACTTTGTGGACCCATCTTCAGAAAAACATTATCCTATCAACTTTTACGCGTGACATGACATGGCAAAATTTTTCTGGTTCAAATTCACTTTCCAAATCTCATGGATGAGAGCTCACCTTCCACATGTCCCAATCAAGAAAATATTCAAGATTTCCAGCTACTCTCAATTTCTATTCCAGTTCCAAAATTCAAGATGCTACACTAGTGAGTTTATCATTCATCAATCTAAAAAAATTCTCAGAGTCATTTTCGTCCATGTTTTAGTAAATGATGGTGTAAAACAGAATGGTGAGGACTTCAGTCCTTCATCAGACTCCCTTGCTGATACCTCATGAAGATCATGCAAAAACCCCAGAATTCAACTTCAACTTGAAGGAACAAGAATGGATTTATATGATCAAGAAAAGCAACAATATGAAGGAATTGAAGCAAGTCCATGGCCAAATCTTGAAACTTGGATTAATTTGTAGCTCTTTTTGTGCAGGCAATCTTTTAGCTACTTGTGCACTTTCAGAATGGGGCAGTATGGACTATGCTTGTTCAATCTTCCGGGAAATCAGTGATCCAGGTTCATTTGAATACAATACTGTAATAAGGGGACATGTTAAAGATATGAACTCAGAAGAAGCTCTACTTTGGTATATTCATATGATTGAAGATGAGGTTGAACCAGATAATTTCTCATATCCTGCACTTCTTAAGGTGTGTGCTCGATTTCGGGCCCACAAACAAGGAAAACAGATTCATGGGCAAATCTTCAAGTTTGGACAAGACGATGATGTGTTTGTGCAGAACAGTTTGATCAATATGTATGGAAAGTGTGGAGAAATTAAGGAATCTTGCATTGTGTTTGAGCAAATGGATCAAAGGACTATAGCTTCTTGGAGTGCCCTTATTGCAGCTCATGCAAATTTGGGACTATGGTCTGAGTGCCTCAAACTTTTTGGTGAAATGAACTATGAGGGATGTTGGAGGGCAGAGGAAAGTACATTAGTCAGTGTGATTTCTGCTTGTACTCATTTGGATGCCCTTGATTTTGGCAAAGCCACACATGGATATCTTGCAAGGAACATGAGTGGTCTCAACAATATAGTAGAGACTTCCTTAATAGATATGTATGTTAAATGTGGAAGTCTGGACAAAGGGTTGTTTCTCTTCCAAAGAATGGCAAACAAGAATCAGATGTCCTATAGTGCCATAATCTCAGGGCTGGCGTTGCACGGGCGTGGAGAGGAAGCTCTAAGTATCTACCATGAAATGCTCAAAGAAAGATTGGATCCAGATGATGTAGTTTATGTAGGGGTTTTGAGTGCTTGTAGTCATGCTGGACTGGTTGAACAAGGGCTAAAATGTTTCGATAGGATGAGACTAGAGCATCAGATAGAACCAACGATTCAGCATTATGGGTGCATGGTTGATCTCTTGGGACGAGCTGGTAGGCTCGAAGAGGCTTTGGAGCTCATCAAGGGCATGCCTATGGAGCCAAACGACGTCTTGTGGAGAAGTCTGCTAAGTGCTTGCAGAGTTCATCACAACGTTGAGTTGGGAGAATTCGCAGCCGAGCATCTCTTCCAGATGAACTCAAGAAATGCGAGTGATTATGTTATGCTCTGCAATATGTATGCACAAGCTCAAATGTGGGAAAAGAAGGCTGTGACTCGGACCAAAATGGCTAATGAAGGGATAAGTCAAGTTCCTGGCTCTTGCTTGGTTGAAATAAACAGAAAGATGTACAAGTTTGTGTCACAAGATAGGTCACATCCATGCAGTGAAGAGGTCTATGAGATGCTTCACCAAATGGAATGGCAGCTGAAATTTGAAGGGTATTCGCCAGATACATCACTGGTTTGGTATGATGTAGATGAAGAAGAGAAGAGGCAAAGATTGAGCACTCATAGTCAAAAGTTGGCAATTGCATTGGCACTTATAAAAACATCTCAGGGTTCTCCAATAAGGATAGTAAGAAATGTCAGGATGTGTAGTGATTGTCACACATACGCTAAACTAATTTCCATGATTTACGAAAGAGACATTGTTGTTAGGGACAGAAATCGGTTCCACCATTTCAAAGATGGAACCTGCTCTTGTAAAGACTACTGGTGAATACATCTTCTTTTACCATTAAAACTCCACATTCTTTATTTATGATCATTTTTTGCTGCAGCTCAAAGATGTAAACAATATTAGCAACCATCTTTAAAATCATGCCAATCCTGGAGAACCATCCCAGTCTTGAACTAGAAAGGTAATCTATTCATGCTAATATAGTAAGACTAAGATGTCGTGTTACAGTTATCTTGCAACTGCAAGTCATCTCCTACTTGCAGATGCTGAATTGAAGTTATTTCCTTTGCTCCCAAGGACACACCCCGAGGATCTTCTCTTACTAGCATAGCTAGAACATTGACCCAACTCCAAGCTTTAGTCACATTCTTGCTTGAATCCCTGCAAAAACCGCATCAAATCCACCACCACCAGGAATGGCAGCTAACAGAACTCCCTCCATATTCATCTTAGCATCTAGAAGCTGAGATTTTAATTCTGGTTCTGTCTGTGAATAGTGTACAAGGTAAAAGAAAAGCAGTAGAAACCAAAGTTCCAAATGAAAAGGAATCTCTATAATTTAGAATTTCAACCAAAAAGCAATGACGATAAAAATATTTACAATAGAAAGTTTGGGCCATAGCATACATGTTATGGGGATGGATCTTTCACCTCAAGGAAGTAGATAATTTTTTTATGCTTTATAATTAAAATTGGAGGCAATCACTATGACTAGGAATATCCTCTAGTCAACTCAGCGAGATTACATAAGACCACATCTGCAACACCCAGGAACTTTCCCACAACATATTAGCATCTTACCACCTGCCATTTGTGATAAAATGAGGCAAACATTTCTTACCAGATTTTGCTGCTCTAGTTCAAAAAGAGGTTTACCTTTTCAGCAGGAAGCAGGCTGCGCATTCATAAGCATTATAATGTCTCTCAGCCAATTTACTCAAGAGCAGAGTTTCGTCTCCATGTTTCTAGAGAATCCTCAAGGTCGGACCTCTGGCATTTCTTAACAGCCCCAACCATCGATGGTCCTCCACTGCCCGGCTCTCCAAGTAACTGCAAGTGCTCAGCTGTTAACGACATACAATTAACCACTTTGATCGCTGGAGTAGGATTCCTTGGAAGAGCAAGAATGATTCCATTAAAGTGAGGAAGCATAAGGCAAATGTTTCCAGTCAGGCAACATCTTCAGTTATACAGCCAATCAGGAGATCCCATCAACAATAAAAGCATGCTAGGTTGGATTATTGACCTATATCAAAGTTATTACTGACTATCATTTTCATCATATAATACAGTTAAGTATATTCAGGAAGAGAAATTTCATTGCTTAGCCCAAGCACTACTATGAAATAAATTTAGCTAAGGGCATGGATATCAAAAGAGGACACAAGGATGTGTCGCATAGCATGTATGTAAAAGATGGGAATTTAGATCATCCAGCTTGCTTGCTTGCAGCAGATTAGCAGTCCATCATTCTTAACCAGACAAACATTCATAAGGTTGTGGATATGGAATATCAGACCCACTAGAGTCATCAAAGGAGGCAATGAAAACTTGGTCTTCTCATGGCCCCACTTGCCTTTTAGGACATCCTCAATGACTTCTGTTAGTGGTTTGAGAAATAGCAAAACCCAACAGCTCACTTGTTACTGACATACCATGCACTTCTCATTCCAGCAATATGACTGGAGAGCAAAATGGTTAATCCTCTAGATATCAAATCTGTGATTTGGGTGGCAGTTTAGGTTAGAGGCGGTTATAGCATAACCATTTCTCTGATAAATCATTTAGGAATAGGTTCTGATACAATTGCTTTGCACAGGAAGTGACCAACATTCAAAAGACTGAAGAACATCAAACCTCACTTGCAGCTCCTCCAATTACCTCTTCCGCTCGTTATTCTTCAGAAAAATGTCTATAGATAACTACAATCCCTGGTATACACTGCAACCAAGCTAGATTTTAGCCCCACTGAAGCATGTAAAATTGAGCCTCTGAGTTGAAGGCTACATCCTTCAGAACCCATTGACTGAATTCAAAAATTACTTGAACGGTTGGACCAAAGCCGTGCACCCATGCAATTAAATGATGCATTCCTAAAAGTTCTACGACAAAGGATCTCTAATATGGTTTTCCAATAAGTTACTTCACCATGAAAAGGCTACAGTCATTTCTCAACTGTGTACCACTCTCTAAGCCTTGATGTCCAGCTAACAGAAACAATTGTTCACCCTTTACTGCCAGAGAGACTCAAAATACCATATTGTATCGAAGTTAACATTAGCTAAAGAATAGCACCACATAGTGATGTAAACAGCATCTGGATGATGCAATACATGCCTCTTCTTCATATTAAGTTATCAATTTTGAAGTGTACGAACCGGTACGAGAAGGGTCCAAGGTGTCTTTTTGGGAGGAACTGGCCAATGTTATGGGGAATGGGACATTCAAGGGTTCTAGGGGGAGACTTTAACACTATTAGATTCCCGGAGGAGAGATTACGGTGTAGCCTGATTTCGAGGGCCATGGAGGAGTTTTTTGACTTCATCAATGATCACTTTCTCATTGACCTTCCTCTGTCAGGGGAAAGGTTTACTTGGGCCAGGGCAGAGGATTCCAACTCAAGGTCTAGACTTGATAGATTTCTAATATCGCCCTCCTGGGATGAGCTGGTGCCGAATGTGCTGCAGATTCCTTTACCTAGGCTGACTTTGGATCATTTGCCTATCTTGCTAGATGGATGCAGAGGGAAGGGGGTGCGTGCTCCTTTTCGATTCGAGAACATGTGGTTGAAAGTACTAGGATTTGGTGACAAAGTGAAAGAATGGTGGACAAGCTACGGGATATCATGGACACCTTCATTCCGTCTTCCGAAGAAACTTAAATTGCTCAAGGGAGATATTATTAGGTGGAATAAGGAGGTTTTTGGGAGGGTAGAGGTTAAATGAGGGAGCTTATGCATGAATTGGGGGAATTAGAGAGAGGGGAAGTGGCGAGGGAGTTAGATGAATCTGAGAAAGCGAGACTGGGGAGGTTAAGAGGGAAATAGTCGAGTTAGCAATAACTCAGGAGACTAGTTGGTGGCAAAAATCGAGGGCGCTCTGGTTAAAGGAGGGGATTCGAATACCAAGTTTTTTCACAGGGTTGCGGTTGCAAATCGAAGGAGAAACTACATAGAGTCCTTAGTTGTGGATGGGGTGAGGATTGAGGGAGAGGAGGAGGTAAAATGGGCGATAGTGGGGTTCTATGAGAACTTATACAAAGAGGAAGTTAGTTGGAGGAGGGAGACAGTGAGTGGCTAGAGAGGGCTTTCGAGGAGGAGGAGATGCACGAGGCTGTGTCAAGTTGTGCTGGTGATAAGGCCCCGGAGCCTGATGGTTTGTCTTTGGCCTTCTTCCAGCTCTATTGGGACACCATTAAGGGGGAGTTGATGGAAGCCATTGAATACCTCCACATAAATGGTGTTTTCGAGAGAAGTATCAATGCTTCTTTTATTACCATTGTTCCTAGGAAAGAAGGTGCATCTTGTATCAGAGACTACAGGCCTATTAGTCTTGTGGGGAGCATTTACAAGATTATTTCTAAAGTGTTATCCAATATACTCAAGAAGGTTCTTGATGTGTCTGTTTCGTCCTCCCAGAATGCGTTTGTGGAAGGTAAGCAAATCCTGGACGCTGCTTTGGTGGCAAATGAACTTGTAGACTCCAGAAGGAAACATAGAGAACCCGGCTTACTATGCAAGTTGGACCTTGAGAAGGCTTTCGACCATGTCGATTTGGAGTTCCTGGATTTCATTATGTTGCGGATGGGGTTTGGTGTAAGATGGAAGGGATGGATCAAGTTATGCATTTCCTCAATCGGATTCTCTGTCCTGGTTAATAGTAGTCCGTGTGGTTTCTTTGGCAGCTCCAGGGGTCTCAAGCAAGGGGATTCCCTATCCCCCATGCTATTCATTCTGGTAATGGATGCTCTGAGTAAAATGATGGATCGTGCGGCTGGCGGAGCCTTCTTGAGAGGATTCTCAGCTCCGATCGGGACGCCCAATGCCCGAAGAGTCTCTCATTTGCTTTTTGCGGATGATACCCTGGTTTTCTGTGATGCCGACTGATGATAGGCTATAATTGAGTATTATAGTCGATTATTACACTCTAATTTACTGCACTTTAGTTGAGTTTGCGCTTTAATCGCTAGTGTTTTGCACTAACGGTGTATTTTATGCCTTGTAGGAGTGATTCCGAGCTATATAGATGTTATGAAATAAATTCAAGTGATTTGGAGCTTTGAAGTCTGCGTAAAAGCCCAAGGAATTAAGCCGGGATCGTATTCGGGGATCAACGGATGATAAAGCAACAAAACGAAGAATCGAGTAGGCATATTGCGCACTGTCTAGTAAAATGCACATAACATTTTGCTAAGAACTCCATTTGGGTTCCACAATATATGGTTGGAAAGCTAATTCAAAGGGCTACAACTTTCATGCTTTACGTTTTTCCAAATTCTAAACGGAACAGGGTGAAAAATGCGATCGAAACCGCGATCGCGGACCTGAGGCGGGCTGAGGCAGTACACTTGCCAAATACCGCATCCGTACCGCGGTTGACCGCGGCCGCGGCCGTCCAGACGGGAAAAATTGTCCCTTTTCGCGTAGGAGAAGGTATAACTATTTGGGCTCGACCCTACTTGGTATATATACATGAAAAAAACGATATTTTTTAGGGAGGAGACCAATTTTTGACACAGATTCGACCTAAGGAGGCAGAGATACAATAGGAGCAAGGCGGAGAATTCTTCTACGAGTTTTTCCTTCCTCTTCCTATTTTTTCATTGTGGTTATGACTTTTAGTATTGTAGTTTTACATACTATTATAAATAACTAATTTGTTATCTAGGATTTTGATAGAACCTTTTGTAGGATAAATTCTTGTTATATTTTTATATAATTGAGCCGTTGGATTTCTCTACTTGTTCAACTACGTGTTTATTGTTGTTGATTGAATGGCCATC